ACATACCCTCAGCCTACACCCACGTCACGCCCAGCCGCCCACACCGCCCACGCCACCGACTGTACCCCAAGGTATTCCTCGCGCCGTGCAACCATTTCCTTTCCCAAGCCCGGAGGTCAGCGGGGTTCCTCGAGGCCGCCTTACTATGGTCTGCATGGGCGTGGGCGTAATCCTCGTCCTCGTTACCGGCGAGGGGACGAATGTAAGCCTAAAAGGGGTAATGTGAACGCAAGAAAGGAATATTCAAGGGGACGCGAGTTTTTTTTTTTTTTTTTTTTTTTTTTTTCTTTTTTTTAAGGGGCAGAAGGAACGGGAAGTGCGACTGGCCAAGGACAATGATCTATGGCGGCAGTTATACCAGTGCGGGCCATAAAAAAAACATCTAATCATCGTGCAGATAACATGTTTCACGTCTACCAATTTACCTAATGGTCTGTCTGTCTGTCTGTCTGTCTGTCTGTCTGTCTGTCTGTCTGTCTGTCTGTCTGTCTGTCTCAGTCAGTCAGTCAGTCAGTCAGTCGGTCAGTCGGTCAGTCGGTCGGTCAGTCAAGTCAAGCAGTCTGTCAGTCAATGTTAGTGCATCTGTCTATAATATTCTATGTACATAATTTCTTCCTTTTTCCTCTTCTTCCTCCTCTTCTTAATATACTCCATGTTAAGCATAGACAAAAAAGACACTAAAATCGAATAAAAGCAACCACCGCCCACACTACCTACCCCACCTATATCAATAACGACAATGACCCAACGCCGCAAAAAAAAAACAAGTACCCCAACATCATCTTACGGGGAAAAAAAGCACCTGTCAACTTCCCTTCAGTCAAACGCGCTCCACCGACACCTGTCACCTGTCATCCCTGCCCCCGTCTGACAGCGCCGACAACCCCGACAGCATTCCGCCACCTCGCCGTGCTTTCCCACACCCGCCTCTATGCTGACCCGCGTGCATGCGATCTCGGCCGCGTCTGTCTGCATTCCACAGCTGATCGCCACTCCTTCCCCCTCCTCGTCCTTCCCCCTCCTTCCCCTTCCCCCTCCTCCTCCTTCCCCTCCCCTCCCCCTCCTCCTTCCCCCTCCCCGTCCCCCTCCTCCTCCTCCTCCTCCTCCTCCTCCTCCTCCTCCCCCCCTCCTCCTCCTCCTCCTCCTCCTTCCCTCCTTTATCCGCCTCTCCCCCCGCCTCCCTTCCACCCCCTACGTAAACAATGGCAATTTCCTCCCCTGCGCCCCCGTCTTCGCCTCCCACCTGTCGCCGCCCCGGTCGCCCGATTCTTAAAGAGCTTCTCGCACCTCGAGCTCTGGACTCCCTTCGAAAACGCCGGGATGGAGAGGGCGTCACCTGGCCGACGGCGGGCCGACAATAGTGCCGAGTGCATGGAGAGAGAGGGACGAGTGCATGGAGAGGGAGGGACGAGTGAATGGAGAGGAGGACGAGTGGAATGGGGAGGGAGGGACGAGTGCATGGAGAGGGGAGGGACGATGAATGGAAGAGGGAGGACGAGTGTAAATGGAGAGGGAGGGACGAGTGAATGGGAGAGAGGGACGAGTGTCCGAATGACGTGGAGAGGGAGGGACGAGTGAATCGACCACGTGAGAGGGGAGGGACGAGTGCACGAGTGGCATGGAGAGGGAGGGACGAGTGAATGGAGAGGAGGACCGACGTGAATGGAGAGGAGCCGAGGGAATGAGAGGGAGGCGACGAGTGAATCGAGAAGTGAATGGAGAGCGAGGGACGAGATGAATTAAGGGAGAGACTGGGAGGGACGAGTCTACGAGTGAATGGAGAGGGAGAGGACGAGTCTTCGGAATGTGAATGGAGAGGGGAGGACTGGGAGAGGAGGACGATGTGAATGAGAGAAGGGAGGGACCGAGAGGGAGGGACAGTGAATGGAGAAGGACGCGGGACGGTGAATGGAGAGGGAGGGACGAGTGAATGGAGAGGGAGGGACGAGGATGGAGGGGAGGGACGAGTGGAAAGGAAGAGGGACGAGTATGGAGAGAGGGGACGAGTGAATGGAGGAGGGAGGGACGAGCAGATGAGATGGAGGAGAGGAATGGAGATCAGGGACGCATGGATGAGAGAGGGACGAGTGAAGGAGAGGGAGGACGGAGTGAATGGAGAGGGAACGATGTGTGAATGGAGGGGACGAGTGAATGGAGAGGCGAGGGACGAGAATGGAAGAGGGAGGGGACGATGTTGGAGACATGGAAGGAGGGAGGACGAAACGTGTGGAGACGGGAGGACGGACGAGAATGGAGAGGGAGGGGGACTAAGAGAGAATGGAGGAGAGGAGGACGAATGGAGAGGGAGGGACGAGTGAATGGAGAGGGAGGGACGAGTGAATGGAGAGGGAGGGACGAGTGAATGGAGAGGGAGGACGATGTGAATGGAGAGGGAGGGGACGAGTGAATGGAGAGGGAGTATAATGGACGACGTGATATGGAGAGAGGGAGGGACGAGAGAATGGAGGAGGAGCGTGACGAGGTGAATGTGAATGAGGGAGGGACGAGGTGCAGAATGGCCAGAGGGAGGGAGCGAGTCGTGAATGGAGCAGGAGGGAACGATGAATGGAGAGGAGGGACCGAGTGCAATGGAGCAGGGGAGGGACGGATGTGAATGAGAGGAAGGACGAGAGCCCGCTGTGAAAATGAGAAGGCGAGGGCACGACGTCGAATGGAGCAGGGGAGGCGACGATAGTGCAATGGAGAGGGAGGAAAAACGATGTGAAATGGAGAGGAGGGGACCGAAGTGAACTGGAGGGGAAGGTACGACGTGATGATGAGAGAGGGAAGGAAGGACGTTAAGGGTGAAGAATGGAGAGGGGAGCGGGACGCGACAATTGTGAATGGAGAGGGAGGGACGACGAGAATGGAGAGATGTGAGGGAAGCGAATGAATGAAGGGAGGGACGAGTTGCATGGATGAGGGAGGAGACGAGTGAATGTGAGGAGGGAAGGAGAGTGAATTGAGAGGGAGGTAAACGAGTGCATGAGTAGCAGAGACGGAGCGAGTTGCATGGAGAGGGAGGACGACGACTGAATCCGGAGAGCGGAGGGACGAAGTGAATGGAGAGGGAGGACGAGTGAATGGAGAGGGAGGACGAGTGAATGGAGAGGGAGTGGACAAAGTGAAATGGAGAGGGAGGCGACGAGATGAATGGAGAGGAGGACAGTGAATGGAGAGAGGAGGGACGAGTAATGCAGAGGGAGGACGAGTGAATGGAGTAGGAGGGACGAGCCGTGAATGGAGGAGGAGGACGGAGTGAAATGGAGAGGAGGACGAGAGTGAATGGGAGGAGGGACGAGTGGAATGGAGAGGGAGGACGAGTTAATGAAGAGGGAGGAGGAGGGAGGGAACGGTGAATGTAGAGGAGGGACGAGTAATGGGAGAGGGAGGGACGAGTGAATGGAGAGGGAGGGACGAGTGAATGGAGAGGGAGGGACGATGGTGAATGGAGAGGGAGGAACGACGACGTGAATGGAGAGGGAGGGACGAGTGAATGTGAGAGAGGGAGGACGATTGAATGGAGAGGGAGGGACGATGAATGAGAGGAGGACTAGTGAATGAGAGAGGGCAGGGACGAGTGAAATGGAGTCAGGAGGGGGACAGGAGGTGAATGGAGAGGGAGGGACGATGAATGGAGAGGAGGAGGTGAATGGTTGAGGAGGTGGAAGAGAGGAGGGACGACGGACGAGTGAATGGAGAGGGAGGGACGGAGTGGAATGTGAGAGGAGGGACGAGTGAATGAGAGGGAGGGACGAAGTGAATGGAGAGGGCGAGGACGAGTGAATGGAGAGGGAAGGGACGAGTTGAATGGAGAGGGAGGGACGAGTGAATGGAAGAGGAGGGACGAGGTGGAATAAGAGAGAGAGGGACGAGGGAGAAGGGAAGAGGAGGGGACGATGGAGAGGGAGGGACGAGTGAATCAGGAGGAGGGAGGACAGTGAAATGGAGAGGGAGGGGACGAGTGAATGGACGAGAGGGAGAGGGAGGGACGAGTGAATGGAGAGGGAGGGACGAGGAGAATGGAGATGGAGGACGAGTGAATGGGAGGGAGTAGGCGAAGGGACGAGTGAATGGAGAGGAGGGACGACGTGAATGGAGAGGGAGGGACGACGAGTGAATGGAGAGGGAGGGACGACTGAATGGAGTAGGGAGGGACGAGAGGAATGGAGAGGGACGACTATGTGAATGGAGTGGGAGGGACGAGCATGGAGAGGGAGGACGAGTGAATGGAGAGGGAGGGACGAGTTGAATGTGAGAGGGAGGGACGACGTGAATGGAGAGGAGCGGACGCGAATGGGAATGAAGGGAGAGGCAATGGAGAGAGGGAACGAGTGAATGGAGAGGGAGAGACGAGATCAAGGTGAATGGAGAGCGAAGGGAGAATGAAGGCGAGAGGAGGGACCGAGAAGGTGATGAAGGAGACGAGACGAGTGAATGGAGATAGGGACGACGTGAATGGGAGAGGGAGGGAGGACGTTAAATGTAGGAGGAGGGAGGCAGTAAATGGAGAGAGGGAGGAGTGAAATAGAGAGGGAAGAAGGAGTGGAGAGAGATTGGAGAGGGAGTGACGAGGGAGGGGGGAGCGGAAGGGGTAGAAAGGAGAAGAACGAAGCTGGGAATGGGAAAAAGGGGATGGCGAGGGAGGTAGGGAGAAAGAGACAGACAGACAAAGAGAAGGAGAGGGAGAGACAGAAAAAGACAGTGAGAGAGACAAAGACCAAGACGGAGGAGAGACAGAAAGACAGAGATAGAGGCAGATAATGAGACCGACACACAGAGAGAGACAGACAGACAGAAGGGGGAGGTCAAGAAGCACATCAATCTTGAAGTCATGCCACGACAAGGAAGCTGCCAGCCCTCTCTCTGTCTCTCATTTTCTCTGTCTGTCTGTCTGTCTCTCTCTCTCATTTTCTCTCTCTCTCATTTCTCTCTCACCATCTCTCTCTTCCTCTCTGCCCCCCTATCTCTCCCTCTTCCTCTCCCTCCCCCCTATCTCT